CCCTAGTTATGTGCAGGGTGAATCTCAAATGACCAGATCTATAAAACAGCCAAATGATATGGGAATTGAGCAAGAGGATATTTTTTTTCATTATTTTATTTTAAAACCTGCTGGAAGTTGGTAAACATTTCAGTTCAGGACATGAGACCTCTGTTCTTTTGTGTTAATGTAAATCAACAACTACAGATTAGTTAAAATAAAAGAGCTTCTCACACCTGAAACCTCTAACTTTGAGGAAGGTGAAATATAAAACTTTGCAGTAAAGGGTGTTTGACAACATAAACCAAAATCATATGAAGCCAAATGTAATAGATTGTTTCCACAAAAATGTATGCACTAGATTTATGATAGTAAAAAATGAAAACAGGATCCTCTTTCATCATTCAAATGGTAAGAATGAGCCTGTTTTAGGAACAAATACATGTGAAATATTTTACAGAGAACAAAAAAGCATCAAGATGCATTACAAAAAACCATTAAATGATTACAGAAAGGCAGTAATCTGTATAGTAGTTTTTGGAGCCAGCTATTATCGCTTGCTTTCAAATCCTGGCAATATCAATATTCTCCAGTTTGATTGGTGACCGGTCTGAACTTATCCGACTTGCTTTTAGGAACAAAGACAAGAGAATGGCTACCTCTATTCATCTATTATTGTTTAAATAGCTGTCACAGCTTCCAGGATGTCTGTTTCCATGTTATCTGGGGAAAGAATAAAATAGAATGGCAACAAACCAAGTGCAGTGAAAAATGTTCGTTGTATTTGGCCCAAACCAGCTGCTGTTCACAGATAAAATCTGGTTTGAACAAAACCAGGTGAATTTGGGGAATTTAGGAACAATGGATGGAGTGGATGTATCATTTACAAATATTTTAAAGATACGTGCCATATAGAGACTTGTCTATTATGGTGATTTAGTTCATATGTCAAGGCACATATTCATCTCTGCTCAGATACTGTAGAGGCTTGGGTAACAGCTTGTCCTATCCTTGTTTATTTGTTAATTTATAACATCTCAGTTCCCAGCACAAGCCAAGGCAGGCCTGGACACTTCTTTGTTCTGCCTTGTTCTTTCTTTTTTTTTCCCTTTTCTTTACACCGTTGTGCTCCCAACTCCGACAATGGAGTTGTAGATCGACCCTCTTTCCCCTCTTGCCCTGACTTGTTTTCGAATGCTTCCTTTGATGCCTTCAGACTGAAAATGCCAAACGTCTGTTTCCCAGCAAGGGCTCATCACTTTTGCAGCATTGCTCTGCTAGTAGGTTAAGAGGAACGTTAGTCGTTCCTTTGCAACAGTTTAAAAGATGTTAGGTTAGTGGTCATTTGAAAGCAAAGATATATATCATCGTATTGCGAAAAGAGGGCTGCAGGAATGGAAGAGTTTAAAATGATTTAATTGCAAGCGGTCGTATTATTTTGCTACTAAGATATGTGGTTATATTTTAATTGGCTGTGTTTACAATGTGGTTTTTCTTAAAAATGCATTTTTTCAAGATTCCCTCAGTCATCGCTTATCTCACATCCACAAATATCCATGCTTCCTGTGTATAATATGTACATTTGCTGTGTTTCAAACATGCTCACACTCAAAGTTTATTTCACATGGGACATCAAGAAAACAAAGTCACATTAGTCTGACTTTTTTTTTTTTCCTGAGTTGCCGTTTCATTAAAATAAGTTCATAGTAAGTTCAGCTCTCTAGTCTTACCCTTCAGTGTAAATTTGTTTCTGTTATTTATTATAACATTAGAGTTTGGATGTTATTTTGAGTTCATACCATTCTGCATAACTTTAACCTTTTTTGAATTACTTTGCCTATTGCAAAACCATGCCACACATTGTTAGGAAAATCTTTGCAAACTTTGCAACGTGTTTTGAGCATGCACACAGTACAGCAAACTTAGCATATATTTGATTTTAAAGTAGTAATGCACTAAAAAATTTAATCCCTTGCTTAAATTCTATGACAAGACCTGTGTTAGGAGCTTTCTGTATCTCAGAAATTGCATGGAAGAAAAAAAATTTAAGTGAATTAAGGCCTACAGAATTTTTAAGTGGCTCAGTTTTATCTATTGTTTTAAAATATTGCGACAATTTGAGACCTAAAATATTAGTAAGAAAATTCCAAGTTGTCTTAGAAAGTATGAGAGGTTATTGATCCATTCCTGTGACAAACCTAGAGGCAAATGATGTCTTTTTTTAGTTTACTTTCTCATTTATATGAATCAGCTCCACCATGCATACTAGTGATTAGACTCTTGCTATACCATGCAAAGCCAATACCTTCACTGGAATCACTGATATAAAGAAGTCTTTAGGCAAAAAACTCAGTGATATAACAAAGGAGAGGTTTTGTAGTTTGGGGCGGGGAGGGGTTGTTACTGGTTTTTAATGTTGGGTAGGAATCATTTGGGAAAGCCATACTTGCAGCAGAGGAAAAAAGTTTTCAGCTGTTCAATAATATTGTGTAGTGTTTATCAATCTATGGTCTAACCAGTTTTGTTTAAGTTTTGGGTTGTTTCTTTTGATTAATGAAAGCATAACAATTCCGACAGCAGTTTGGAGAAAAGCATTTGGTAATGATTTTTCACGCTAGAATAGGATTTGAGAAGATGAACTAGCAGGATGATCTGAGAACCATAAGCTAGTTTGCAATAGCCAGGAATACCTAATTTATTTTTTTCTAATGAAGTGGCGAGTATTTCTGTAACATTTTAAAAGTTGAGAAGGAAAGAAACAATTCAGATTTAGGGCCAAATTTAGTATGTTGCTACAAAATGAGTACAGAGATATCCATGTTGCTGTGGGGTAGCATGAGGACAGAGGATATATCCTCATAGTACAGTTTTCAGAGCCTGTTTTGAGTCTCAGTAAGGTAAGGAAAATAGTGAAGTTTTTCCTAGCACTTGGTGACACGAGTGGAAAACTTAAATATAGCTGAAAAAATCTTTTGTGACTGAATGGGCTGAAGCTTTCCTTGGTCAACATCAGTTCATTTCACAAAGCTTGCCTTGGTAAGATTTTGAATGATGACTTTATGAGAAAGCAGTAATTGTAAAACAAATTGTGACAAATAGGGGACATGAAACGGCATCTTATTTGTTGTGTAGGCTACTTTCAGCCTGAGCCACAGTGAAGTAGGAAGATCTGCTTCCATAGTAGGACTGATCTCACCAAGAGCAGATCTTTTCATCTGAGCTAGTCAGCTTAGGCTTCTCTTAGAGTCAACAGACACTTCTGGAGGAAGATTTGGCTCGTCCTGCGTAGATGCCTGTGGTAGTTCAGATGGATGAGTACCTCAAACTGATGTCTGCTTCTCTCCACTGGCTATAGAAAGAGCTAAGTGGGACCAGCCGAGAAGCAGATGTCCAAATGCTTGTTTGGGTGTCTCTGTGGATGGACATAGTGGGTGAGGCTTTTATCCTAGCACTGTAAATGCTAGTCAGCACGACAGAGCTGGTGAGGAGATGGGGCGAGAAATCTGCACCTGAACATGGTTGACGGAGATTGCTTCCTTCTGGAGTAACAGTGGATGGGGACCGTTGGAGTGAACAGGGACTGTGAGTTAAAGTTTTCTGGCCCTGTGGTTGTCAAAGTCTGCACTCTAACCCTTTGTTGCTGCAGATTTCAGTTTTTCTGGTCCTTGAATATGTCCGCTTAAGAACATATTGCAACCCAGTCAAAGAGAGAGCTCTTTTTAGGCAACTAGGATCAGAACTTTCATGTAATACAACTCAAAATGTACATGATAGGATAGAGCAGTATAACTATTTATTGAAACTATAGTTAAATAAAGTGCAGAACGAAAGAGAAATTAAAATACACCAAAACATATGTATCTTATAATGATCAAAACCCACATGGAAATGAGTATGTCTGAGAAACTCTTCTGTAGTCAAATAGCTGTGCAGAGATCTGCATAATACCAAGAGTACATTCTGATGTCTTTGTACTGTATTGAGATAGATCAGTATGTGTCAGTTAACTAAGCCCTTGGTAAGAAGAGTATGTATAGATATATGTATCTATATATATGCATAGATAGTTTTCCTTTTGAAGAATTCAGATTAACATCTGGTGCAAAGAAATTGACCTAAATTTCTGTATCATATCAACAGTAGTCTAAAAATGTTTCAAGAAGTAAAACAAAAGAAAAAAAAATAGGGTATTGAAGTTTCTGCTAATTGTGGGGTTTTTTTCTCTTTCTTTTTTTCTTCTCACTTATTTTATAATCCATTCACAGATTATCTGGGAAACTTTAATCTTAGAAGTCTTCAAGCTGTGGGAGTTTTTTCCCGTTGTGATGTCAGAACTGATCAGATCTGATTGTTACGAAGATCCCACTAAGGAGTTTAGCACTAATTGTTAGAAGATGTCCGTGCTTAAAAAAATTAGGCCAGTTATTGTAACCATGCTGTTAATTTCACGTATTGTTCAGAGCATGTTTCAATTGTGGGAATGAGGTGTACTTTCTTGATTAAAAATGCATTGAGGAGCTGCAGTTTTTCTTGGTGTTGCAGAATCTTCTGAGCTGTAAATGAAACCATTAAGAGTGGGAAGGGTTAATTGTATGGGAAGCCTCATATTCAAATATTTCTCGTATACAAAATATATGTCATGCTAGAAAATATCCTATTGTCAATCCAAATAGAACACAAACTAAAATGAGATAATTGGGAAGGTGCCCATAAAGTCAGCCTGAATATATTATCACAAGTATATGTGAGATAATATTTGTTTTAAAAAGATTCTATGGCACTGTAAACTCAGTCTCATTAGAGACTGCATTTAAAAGGCTTATAAAGTTACTCATTAATGTTATCTTGTTGTATCTCCACAGCTTTTTCATTAAAGAAAATTCAGCAGAAAGCATTTTCTCCTGATAGCAGGAACCAATTTGCAATAAATGTTCTGGAAACCACTAGGGAAGCCATTACTGAGGTCTAATAAAAACAGACAAGCGTAACTTGTTCTATATTTTTGTTTCAATCACATACAGATGAGACCCCGCTCTCCACACCAACCGCAAGAGACAGCCTTGACAAACTTTCTCTAACTGGGCATGGGCAACCACTACCTCCGGGTTTTCCATCTCCTTTTCTATTCCCTGATGGATTGTCCTCCATAGAGACCCTTCTGACTAACATCCAGGTAGGCCTTTCTGTAGATCAGCTTAAAGGGATGGAGAAGAGCCAGTTGCAGATTTGTCTAAATTAAAACAACCATTCTAGCTTAATCAGTTCATAAGATTATTTGGATCAACTAATTTACTGAAACTTTCTAGTAATTTAGGTTTTAAAGGAACCACAGCAAACGAATGAATTTAGAAGCTGTCAGATACAGTACATAAAAATACAGATTGTATATTAAACCACAGCAGAGAATTTGATGAAAATTACATTGGTGTGTTTAACAACGTTTGTCTTAAATGCTCTTTTTATTACAGGCTAATGAAATGTATCTTACTGTTTAACTTTATCTCATTTACTAAGCAGAGAAATATTTCTTTAATAAATAGTTATTTTAAATTGCTGGAGTGCCAAGGTGGAAATGATATTTAAAGCTATTTGAAATGTGTCTTCCATAAAAGCATTCACAAAAAGCACTTCTTTTTATAAATAAGCCATTTCACTTAAAGTACTGTCTTCAAAGAGTAGACTTCAAAGGGTATTACCAAATTTTCTGCAGATTTCCTATTTGGTAGTCACAACGTCTGTTGTGTATACAGTACAGCCAGATTCAAATATTATTTAAGGTATACACTAGCATGTAGCTTGGAGCCAAGATGTTAGTGTTTCATATTAGAATGAAGAATTTCTTTGTCCACAAATTCAATGATCGTGTGTTCCCCAGATGCAACTTTTGCAACAATATGGTTGTATGTTGCATGCAGAAGCAAAATGATGGTGCAGGAAATAATGCAGCCATATTGTACTCATTCCAGATAAGCCTCATCTGTGCAGCTAACTTCTAATGGATTTGTCACGATATTTTTCCCTGCACATTCCTGCAAATACATAAGATCGATTGTATTCTGTTCAGCAAAGGCTATGACAGAGTAGGGCCAAATCCTTCTCACTTTCAAGGTTACATTAAAGCTTATGGCATTTCAGACTTGGTTTATGGAAAGTATGTGATCTGTTCATTAGTGATGTTTTGGGATCTAATAATGAAAAAATACTGCTATTTAAGAATTAAGTGTTGCTGTGTCTGCCTGGTCTGAAAAAGCACATTTGTGATTGATTTTTGTGATTCTGAGACTTAGGATCTTAAATATTTAAATCATAAACAAAGGTAATTCTGCAATAGTTAGCATTCTTCTAACAGATCTGCTGCACTCTGTAGAAAATTGATTTTTTTTTAAAGGAAGAAATACAGTTAGCAAGGTATGTAATGTTTTAGCTGTGCATGCATGTACAGAAAACTTCTCAGTAATTTTTTTGACAAATGTGTGCACTCAATGTCGCTAGACAAAAACCTAATGAGCAAAGCATTCAGCATCAACAGGTTAGCTAATCTTGTGATTGAATATGAGAGTGCTGCACTACTTCAGGATAAATGACCAGGATTAATTTACCAAGAATGCCTTCAGTTTTGTTTAACAGAAAAAGTAAACATGAAATTAATTTTTTTTTTTTTTAATTTTTTATTTGGTGTTTTTAGTAAAATACCCTAATCTTACCTGGGGTGAAGAGCTAAAATAAAAGGCAACGTTCTAATGAAACCAGAGACTTCTTTATGCCTTCTCTCATTGTGCTTTTGTACTTACTGCTTACCTTCCACATCATGACAAATCACTTATCAGGATAAACAGGTGGGACATAAGTCCCTTTGGATTTTTTTCATTGTGTCCCCACGTTGAATCACACGGTTTCCACAGATCTCTGGGAATCCTTTCATATACCGTCAAGGCATTCCCCCACCCCCCACCCTCGATTTAATGTCTGTCAGGACTACATTCGGAAAAAAAAAATATTTAAAAAAATAGCTAGTTTAATTTTCCCACTATGTAGGAAAAAGTTAAGTATTCTCTTTAAAACAGTAGAGTCTATTACAATAACCTATGCACAATAATGCAAGTTTCTCTAATCAACGCCATTTAAAATGGTTTCCATATTCAGTGGTTATTCCGGTGAGAGGAGGCTACTCCAGACCCACAAATGAGTTAGATACTGTGATACTGATACTTTCAGACTGAGTTTTAGGTATTTGACTACGAGTTCAAACTCATTAACGGGATTTGTGGAAAAAGGAAATTCTGTACTATAGTCCCTGCTTGCAGTATCATTTGTGACTTCACTAAGAACTGCATAAGCACTCCCTGAAACCCATGCTGCGTTTAGTGCATGAGTCAGAAGGACTGTTGTCACTGGGTAAATTCCTCTTTGCTCTCCTTCGGTCCGAATGAATTTTGCATCCCTTTCAGTACAGAGTTGTGGATTCAAAGGGTAAGTAAGTGAAGTAGTAAGATCCATCACCATCTTCTTGCTGCAGCTATGCTAGCAGTAGAGCAGATCTAACTTTCTAGAAAGATCATCTGGCCCACAGTCCATTCCCCACCTCCAGTACTAAGGTGCTTTTGGAACCGAAAATAGCAGAAACCTAGCTGAAGGCTAGGTGAGTGGTTTTGTAAATGCTGTTCTTTTTTCCCCAGGGTCATGCGTGATGAAAATACAGATGTGTCCTTTCCTAGAAAGGGTATATGTCTGCTTGTGAAATACAACTGTGCATCTTCATTAGGTCACGGGACTGGGGTGCATGTATGACCTGCCGCATGTGGTGTTGGAGGTTGCCTACATTTTAGGGATATGATGGTCACATGCATACGTAGGCAAGCAGCCTACGGCTACATGAATGTGCATGGACATGATGGCAGATATCTGTGCTGTGATCCCCTGGTGTATATTCAGTTGCGTGAGGTGCAGGATCCGGAGGATCTGCATGATATAGACCTTCAGTGTCTCTAGAAGAGGTTGTAGAGCCTGTCCTGGTTTAAAGTAGAACAGGATTAGGGTACTGCATGGGCACTAGGACTTTTTGACTCTTTGTCAAGGTAAGGAGGATCCTAGACCTTGCCATGGGGCAGTGCTTTTGGGTACGTGAGCAAATATTTCTAAACACTTTTAACATTTGAAAACAAAATGCGCTAAAAGTTTTGCAGGTGCTGAAGAGCTTAGGTGATGGAACTTGTAGCCTAACACTACTTCCATTTTAGAAGTCTGAGTCATCCTTTAAAATTGCCCACTAAACACAAGCGAATCTGTGTCTTCCATCCATACTAAAGTTAAATGGATAGCCCCTAACCAGTAATTCTCAATTTTAGGCAACTGTTAGACAAGCCTATTTGCTATTGCTGTCACCAGGGACTGCTAGTTAGGTTTATTTCCTTTTGAATATTATATATATGTTTTTCTTACTTCTCCATAAATATTTATTGAAACAAAAATACAGTGTTTAAGTATTTGTACATTTAAAGAGGAGATAATAACAATATACAGTACCCAGAACATCCAATGTTTATTTCTTGCTGGGGACTGCTGAAATGCAAATAGTAAAGTGTAACAAAATATAATTAAACAAATACAGACATAAAATAAAGAAATGAGACTGGGGACATATTTTCTTATTCAGTTGTATATCTGCACATCTAAAAAGGAAGAGAAAATAAATTTCCCCAGAGAGCTTAAATTAAGTGATATGACTGTTCCTTCCCAACGTATATTTGTTGATTTCTTCCAGATTAAATGCTGGAAGTGTACGTGCAGCTGCAGGGAGGATGAAGGGTGATGGAAGGTGGGGTCACAGCAAAATGCTGTGTGGATGCTAGTGAGAAGGCTAAAGATGTTGCCATACCCCTCAGATAAGTTCACCTTTCTGAGTCATGGCCCAATTATGCCAAAGTATGTTACAGCCACAGCCTTTCATGATACTGCAATATTCTTGGGTAATAGTAATGTTCTTTTAAGCTTCTAGAGTCTGAATCTTTACTCTCCCCAAGCTGAATTTCTATTAATATCTAAGGGATGAATAAGTTGCACCCTGATAGCTATATTTTTCTATCATCAAGACTGTATTGTATTGACACAGTTGTGTTGCTAAGTATTTTTAGAGAGATATGTAAAATAAGTTGCAAGTATCCCATTGATATTAATAAAAGAAATGCATGATTACAAACTAAATTCCCCTATGAAAACAAAGCAAACTACTGGCTTTATTGCTGTGAGTCTCCTGCACTGTTACCATCTACAACTAAATACACAAGAGAAAAATATTGCAAACACTGGATAAAGTAAAAATCCCAGTTTTACTTCATGTTATTTTATTTATCATCTTCTGCTAAAATTCAAGAGAATGATTTTATTTTTCACAGAAAGTATTAATGAAAAAATGTCATTTATACTTGCGCAATATGCCTTTGCCTCTGCTGGAGGTATTCAATCTGAGATATTACAAAAATGTCTTTCTGGAGTCATCTGTGGTAAGAGAACTCAAGCTGCGTTCTCTTACCTTGCTTATGTTACTAAGTCAGTAGTCAGTTACAAATAGCAAATATTCAAAAATTAACCTGTGAAGTTAACTAAAAATGTATGTATTGAGGCTTTTTTGCAAGCCTTTCACTAGTTAGTTTTAATGATGAGAGCATACAAAGGATATCTAATTTCCTGACGAAAAGAGAAGCAACGTTATTTTAAAATGTTTTCACCATGAATAGTTAATATTGCAAAAGGAAGTCCCTGAGCTACAAATCTCTGGAAGGTGGAAGGTTGGACTAGGAAAGCTTCACTGCGTGCACGCCTTGTTCTTCTAGTTCTCCTTTTCCGGTCACTGTGGGTGATTGTTGGAAACAGGATATGGTCTTCTAGATAGACCACTGGACTAGCTAGTAAGGCCATTTTGATGTCACATATAACTGCATAGCTAACTAAATTATGTGAGGTGGAAAACACTGTAGATGTAGCTAGAAAGAGAAAGAGCTTCTATATACCTTCCCCTACACCCCTTTCAAAATAGGAAACACATTATTTGCATTTTAAAAAAATAATGATGGGTAACACTGGCTTTAAGACTGAGGTGAGGTTTGGTAATGTGTTTAATTTCTGTGGGATCAGTAGAGTGTCCTAACATGATGGTGTTTTCAGATACATCGGAGAATGGAAGGAAACATCAACCATATATCAACTTTTTGTTTGGGACATTTCTGAAGAATCTTTCAGTGGAAAATATTAAAACAAGTACATTAAAGTAAACAACCCAAATCAGAATGAACTATAAAATTTCCAGGGGAAAAATGTCCATTTTTTATATGATGTTGAAATTAAAAAACAAACAAACAACCCCAGTGGCATGGAGGGGAAGAATGCCATGCCATGTTTAAAGCCTGGCTCCAGATAGAGCCATACTGTATTAAAAACAAATCTGGAACCTGAGCATGTTCACTACAATTATCATTATCCAGCCTCCATAACATCTGACCTTCCCTAAAGGGAAATATTTTCTTTTTGTTAATGTCCTGTGTTGCACTGCATTTCCCATTGTCATTGGCAGCATATTGATTTAATATCAGGTTAGAGGATTAGCCATAGCAAATACAAGTTGGACATACTGTATTTTGTATAATCTTTTACAGCTGATCCTCTGGGAGAATTAATAGAATTTCATGCAACTCTGAAATTGCTATTCCTGTTCCAAGGGGCACTGATGATTTTTAGATGCTGTACTTTTTAGTTGTTTTTCTCACCCCCTTCTGCATTAAATACAGGGAGATATTGAATGTTTCCAGTATTTTTGCATTAGAGCTGTCATTGGCAGCAACAACACTTTTGCATATGCATCAGTTTGGCTCTTGTGCAGATTTTTTTTCACATTGGACGCCTACTGATGTGCACTGATTTAACTTCTAAAAATGAAACTTAATTTTGTGTAGCTTATAAGTAGTCCCTAGTGGGTCTTGGCTCCAAAAAGCTAATATTTTTCAGACATAATCAGCAGCAATAGGTAATGTATTACCATTAGCTACGTTAGCAGCAAGTATAAAAAAAGGAAAGGTTGGGGGAGGAAGTGTGGTGTAGAAATTCAATAGAAAATGTAAAATGCTTTTAGCAGCTTCGTTCTTTGCAGCAGTTCTTAATATAAAATTACACACATCAGTGTTACACTCTAGCATTATTCTCAATGTTTATTCATAATGATTGTTTCATATTTAAAGAACACCAAAATATTGTGTTTTGTCAGCCAAGGACAATAATAGTTTAATAGTAATTTATTTTAAACTGCTACTGATAATACAACCAATCAACACATTAAGTGGTGCCAGCATTGGCATCTTGCTAAATAATCTCTAGGCTTTGCACTGAGAGTACATCTTTCAAAGATAAGTCAACAAGAGCAATCAGAGCAGAAAATTAGAATTTGGTATCTTAGAATTAAAATACAGCTAAACTAAAGTTTTAATTGGGGTGATCTAAAAGGGCACTTGATGTAATGATCTCTTTCATTTGTTACTAATTGTTTGTTCCTGACGAAGAAGAAACATGTACATGAATGTAGTTGAATTGAGTAAAGATGGCAGTTGCTTTAGCAGCTCGATTTTATTGTTAAACAAGATGGATTGTAAGAATTTGGGAGGAGGGTGTTTGCAGTTTTAAACTTATTTGACAATACACTTTTCATCAACAAATACTTTTCATGTAATTTCACTTGATCTGGTTTATTAGTGATTTGAATGAATTGCACGTTCCAGTAAGTGATAAATTCGAGGAGATTGAAATATTCTAGAGTTTAAGCATAAGCCAGAACGAGGTTTTGATAAACAACTCCTGCTTCAATTTCTTACTATTTCAAATGCATCCCATATAGCAAACATAGTTTATGATGGTTGTAAATGTAGAAGAATATGGTGGGGAAAGGGAACAGAATTCAGGTGGATATTAACTTTTAAAAAAATAAATTGGAAAGGCTTTACAAATATTTCAAATTGTATTTTACTTTGCATGTATCTGTAGAGCTTTCTGTTTAGCTCTATATGGGTTTCTTTAGTAGTCATCCAAGTTTAACATTCAACACAAAATACCTTTGTGTTTTAGCTATTTTAGAGTAGCATTCAGTTCTTTTAAAGAAAACTGCTAAAACTTTAAATAGATTTGTAAGCACATTTGTTGTGTTACTATTGTTAGATATTTTCAAATGTGGTTCTATACTTATGGAGTGTATATCATTTTGGTGACCATCTGGGCCTTGCAGTCAGAAGGTGTTGAGTTCTTCTAGCTCCTGTGGACTTTAATAGACTGAAGTGTAATAGAGCTGCAAAGCATTAAGCTCTGAATGAGACAAAACTTGAGGCAACAATTTAGTTAAGAATGAGGATGAGGAGTATTGAAAATAACAGGCTCTGAAAACAGACTTAGGAGTTTGAAGGACACAAATTTCAAAGCAGGCATTGACACTGGGAAGACTAGTGGGATAAATGTGCAGACTAACACTCATGAAAAATACTTTTTCCACTTCTCAAGTATCGTCATGATGGCTTCTTTTTCCATTTCTTTTTGGGCATATTTCAAACAATTTTAGTGAAAAAACATGCAACCCAGAATCCAATTTAGGGAGCATGCCTGAGAGGTGAGGAAGCTTACTTGGGAGTTGGGGGACATGATTTCATGTCTGTAGTGTGGTTATTCTGAACCCGGGTCTTGAGTGTGAACCTTTTGTCTCTTAGCTGAATGCTTCCCTAGCAGAGCTATTGGGGAGTACTCTTCAGTCTCTCTTGTTGACACTGTTTTGCTTTATATCAGTAATTAAATCTCTGTTGGGTCAAATTATCTCTACAGTTAAGTTGTCAGGAGACTTGCGTAGGATACAGAAGAGTTAGGTTCGTATCCATGGAGGTTCATACATGCATACCCATGCTTAATTATCTAGTCTGTTATGATAGCTTCGAGAGGAGAGATTCAGGTGTAGATCTAAAAGTCTGATGGCCAGGCTTCTGGAAGATGGAAAAGGAAATCTTCCCTCTTTCCATGTTCATTTGTTTCAATTCTGTTTCTCTTCCTCTTTTTCATACCCTATCTCAGCATCCTAACTATCTAGTTATTAGCTGTGCCGGGATCTTCCTGTTTCCTTGCAAGAAAGAAGGAATTGTGAAATTGAAAATCTCTAGAGAAGTTTGTAATAGCCTGGTACAATAACAACAAAAAAAATGTAGAGATTATTTCAACCATCCCAGGTCAAGAAATCGAGAGGTGATTGCGTTTTGCTCTCTACTGTGAGATAACAGTTGTACAAGGTCAGGGAACAGATGTCTTAGAACAGAGATATCTTCCTGCTTTGTGACTGTCCTCTGCTTAGCATCCCAATAACCCTGTCTTCCTTGGAAACTCTATGAAATATGAAAATACTTGAAAATAATAATAATAAACAACACTAAGGAGCAAAATGGCAAGCCTTTAAAAGAGCCTTTCTCCCTTTGATAATTTCCATTGGCTTGAGCTGTGCTAGAGACTGAATTTGCCATTCTGTGGATGATGTGATTGTGAGACTGCCAATTCTTTTTCAATGCAACAGCTTTTTGTTTTAGTCACAGGCAAGTGGCTGATGTAGCCTTGTCTCTTTTATCTCTTACAAAGAATAAACCTGTCCCTATACCTTTTTCACATTATATGCACAGTTAAAGGTGAGTCCGTGTTTTCTGGGAAAACTTGATTCCCGGCTTTTTAACAGATTTTTGCCCACCTGTTAAAATTAATTCCAGTAAAATTTTGCTGCTGATAACTGGGAGGCTTTACCCAGTAACAGGATTATTTCATTTGTAAATTCTCACATGGCTAGTCAAGGAAAAATTATAAAAGTTATTTACTATGTCAGCTGTTCTAACATTCTTCAAACATTATTCAACTTTATCTTTGAACAGGGTCTACTAAAGGTTGCTATAGACAATGCCAGAGCTCAAGAGAAACAGGTCCAACTGGAGAAGACGGAGCTGAAGATGGAGCTCTTCAGGGAACGAGAACTGAGGGAAACACTTGAAAAACAGTTGGCTGTGGAGCAGAAGAACAGAGGTATCTTAATTAAGCAGACATAAACACCTTGTAATTTATTTCCTTAGGAAACCTAATTTTTTATCAAACACCTGTGTTTGATCAAAACTTTTCCCCCTTACCTTATGTTATGTCCAGGCTGACTGCAATGCAGGAAGTTTTACAACCCTGATTTATGCATAGGATCTTCATGAGATTTAGAACAAGGACCTTCCTTTTTCTCAATGTTTTTCTTGAATATTACTTGTTGCATCAGTAATACGCAACACAATTATAAATACCGTAGGTGCTGTTATGGACTTTGACAGGTTGTGATCATTATGAAAAAGGATAGCTACTTAATAAAAAGACAATTTGTATCAAATGTAAGAATCTGTAAGGTTTAAGGAACTCTTGTCTCTGTTCTTATGTGCTAGGGTCATATATTGCATATTTAGGCAAATTGTATGTAATAAATATAAAGATAATAGTAATATATAAGCACTTTATAATGCATAGTAGATCAAACACGTTTATAGAAGGAAAAGTTAAGGTTCTTGATAAGTCAGTAGCATTAGTAGCATTTCAAACATTAACATCATCCAACTGTAAAGCATATACATGTTAAAGATTTTTAAATAATTTAATCAATAGTAAAGATAAGGCAGTTTACAGTGATTTGCATTAACTATTTGCATTACGAGCATGTTCCCATCCTTCTTTATGGGTCCATTTTTCTGTATATGTAAGTCTTGCCCTTTAATAGTGTCTAATTACTTTGCAAGGGACAGTTAACCTCTGGGGCTCACTTGCTGTTTAACATAGAAGATGACAAGTCAGATACGTATTTCTGCAGGGCTAGAGTTATAACTCTTTTCTTGTCCAGTTTAATTTTCTGGGAACCAGCTAAATAGGGAATCCCGAGAACCCTTGGATTCACAACCAGTATCATTATATCTTTAACTAACATGCTAGCAGTAAGTATACAATGTAATCCTGTTTCGTTCCTTGACTCATTAAAGGGTAGGGCTGTCACATCGTTAATTTCCCTTTTTTAACTTTTGAGAATACGTTTTAAAAGACAATTAGTATTAACAATTATCACAGCTGTGCAATGAATCATCCCTTTGTCCACAGCTGGCCTATTTTGCTCAGTACAATTGCACTACTTACACTTTTAAAGTAGTTTTGTAAAAGAGCTCGCTTATTCTTCACATCCTTCTACGTCTGTGTCTCACAACCGCTTAAGTATATATTCCTTTTTAGAGTTAGGCAATCACATGCACAACGGAAGAGGCTGGGGGGGGGACCCATCTGACCTTACTTGAGTTTTGCCATCCAGAAGTTAAGCACCTCATTTAAACTAATATAAGTTCCTTTTCTGGTCGATAAAGAAAGAGATTCGTGTATCCCATTCTCAGACAGGTGGGTGGGGTCAATTACATTGTGAAGGCTTCTTTCTCTTCCCTTTAACTCCAGAGGGAATATAGTTGACTAGGCTGGACTAGACACATACGTTTTGAGCAGTTAAAATTAAGCAAAATGAATTTCACTCAAAGTTGTATGTCAGGAAGGAGCATGGGATTGTCCCTTAGTTTGTTCAGCGTACTGAAATAATTGACAATGTTATTTTCAGCATGATGTGTTAACTGCTTTTTTTTATATGTATCCCTTTAATGATGATATTGCACTGGTAAAAGAGCCAGACCAAAGAGGAATGGATGTGAACACTTAATGGTGATATGCAGCAAAGCAAATATAATGAGGATGACTATGTCTGCTAGTGGATACTTCTGTAAAAAAAGAAAGAAAAGTAATGGATTATTCTTTAAAATGAACAGATCCAGGTAGGAGAGAAAAAATAAGGCCAGATTGTAATTGCTGTGAGAATGTATTCTTCAATTAAAGGTAGAAAAATACATAGGAGGCTTTACCTATTATTAGTTTTCCAGTTAGCAAGTGTCATGTCTTAAAGAAAGCTTCACGTGTCTTAATGGAAGCATGAGCAAGATGGGAGAAGTGTACCATATCCCTGTTAAGTTAAGAGAAACCATATGAAAAAAATGAAATATGCTTAAAAGCCACAGCATAGAAACACAAGCCACTGTGTAACATACAGGTCAAAACCCATTAGGTGAATGTGATCTTCATCATTAGGCAACATCTATCTTTTGCTCATCATATTAAAACAACTCAAATATCTTGTTCTTTAGTGGCTACATCTGAATATTTTTGCCATTTTTTTGGAACATTAAATTCACTGCTGCTACTGGATGTTCTACAGAGCTGCTTATTTACTGTACTGGTTTTTTCCTTCTTTGTAAATATTCCAATTAGTGGTTCCTAAGGCTGTAGGATGTGTCTCATCAACTGGTGAAAGTAGGATAATATCTGTTCTGCGAGCAGCTACACAGTAAGGGCTTGCTAATTCTGGCTCTGACTGCTGTAGTCACATCTACAATGTGTCAGCCATGATGACATTTTAATTCAGAAAGCAACATATGTTTCCTTCTCATTTATTGCAATCACTTTCAAAGTACTTATAATGAAAACATTAAAACCGTGCAATGATTCAAAATGTATTTAGTTTAGCCTTTGTATATATACTAGATGTTCTTCGGTAGTATAAGCTAATTAGCCTGTAAAGTAGTTGGTACTATAGAAAATGAAAAAGAACCAAAATTCCAAAGTCTTGGATGTAAATTATGTAGCTATTCTGACTACAGGGTATGTGCTTATATTCATTTTGTGCCTGAACAGTTCTGTATAGCAACACAGAATATCCAACATCACCCAAAAAGTGGTTATTCTTAGCATGTACATTAAATAGTAATAACAATGACAGTTCCCTTTAAAAGTTTCATTATTTGCATTTGGGGAGTATGAACTGGTGGCAGTATATTTTTACCTTTTCCAGCATTCATCCCTAGGCATGTACCAGAGGTTACTTTGGAGTGAGACACAGGGCTAGAAAGATCTTGACAGTCAAAACTAGTATGACCTAGTATCTGGTTTTGGTAAAGATTATTCTTTTAGTGTGTGTAAGGAATTCTTTAGTTAGTAGTTCAGTAATTTTTTCGTTAGTGTCAAAAAAACAGACTCTCCAGGAAAGGGTTATCCAGGAAGATCTTGTGAGAAATAAGCTTCTTACATGCACATCCCTGAAAACCCTAAATGTGCTACGTAAGAAGGGTTGGGGTGTGGTAGGGGAGATAATGATATCACAGATTCACAGAATGGTAGGGGTTGGAAGGGACCTCTGGAGATCATTCTGTCCAACCCCCCTGCTAGAGCAGGATCACCTAGAGCAGGTTGTACAGGATTGCAGCCAGGTGGGTTTTGAATATCTCCAGAGAAGGAGACTCCACAACCTCTCTGGGCAGCCTGTTCCAATGCTTGGTCACCCTCAGAGTGAAGAAGTTTTTCCTCATATTCAGGTGGAACTTTCTGTGTTCCAGTTTGTGCCCGTTGCTCCTTGTCCTGTTGCTGGGCACCACTGAAAAGAGTCTGGCCCCATCCTCTTGACATCTGCCCTTTAGATATTTATAAGTGTTGATGAGATCCCCTCTCAAAAAAACCCCGCAAAAACCCAGCCCCACCGAGGTGGAGCCTCAGAAAAATTCCTTGACACTCGTGCCTGTTCCTCTCCACGGAAATCTTTAGTAAAAGGTGAAAAATTTATACAATCTGAAGAGAAACTAGAGTGTGTATATGCTCTATGACTTTACATGATTTCTTTAGAGGCTCGCTTTGACTTTTATTGAGTATAAAAAATATTGAGTATATGTTGGTTCGCATTATCCTTTTCCATCAGGAACGTAAACTGTGATATGTTCCTTCCATTAGGGATCATGCAGATCTTATGTTTGTGGTTGTAAGTCACTGGTAACATAGAAGAAAAAATTGTGGTGAAGTTTCTTTAAAACAGCCCTTGTATGATGCACTTACACCCTGATCTTGCAGTCCTTTTCCTTGTAAAATTTGAACTGAAGAGATATAAAACTTTTTTTTCTAAATTAGGGCCTTCTAATGCTTAATTTTAAAATACTCCTTCCTTTCCTAATGCTTTCCCTTACATTTGACAAAGCAAAGTAATATTTACTTGGCTGGGGGACCCAACACTGCCCAGGTATTTTTACTGTAAAGGATTTGCTATGAGTTCTTCAAAGTGAGTTGGCTGATGGGACAGGAGCTGACAGAGAGCAAGAAAGAGAAAAGGGAAGGACAACGGGAAATGTGGATAAGAAAGAAATATGGGGAAGAGACCGGGCACCAGGAGGCCAGATGGCTTGAAGCACCAGCAGCTTGGATGGGAGTTAGAAAGCTCAGGGCCTTTCCCAAAGGAATGTGGACCACAGCAGGGTGGAGGCTGAGCTCCTCCTGAAGCCCGGGCACCCAAGCAGCCGCATCTCCCTCTTGTGGGAGAGAAGCTGCAGGCAGGCGGGCGAGAACTTCATCACTGTGCGTGTGCTAACTGTGTGTTACGGGCCATAACACAAAGGTGGGCTTAATCCCGAAAAAATACACCTCGCCTCCAGAGACAGAGGCATATCTACGTCAGATGATGCAAAAAGTACATTTCATTGCCAGTTCTAAGGTTTTCTGATTTGGACATTCACAGATTCTCATCTGTTTATTAAAAAAAAAAATAATAATGCTATAGCTGAATATTGCCTAAGGTTTTCAATATCATGGTATAAAACATAAATATCCTAGTGTGATTCCAGCAAATTTCAAGTAATTTAAATTGGTATTATATAATAAATCAGTTTATATGAACTGTTACAGTTGTATTATTTCTCAGGACTCTTAATAGGTAATCATGTAACCAAGTTTCAGATCCAAATCTGAGTACACTGATTTTCTTTTTTTCCTAGCAATAATTCAGAAAAGGCTAAAGAAGGAAAAGAAGGCAAAGAGGAAATTGCAGGAAGCACTTGAATTTGAGACTAAACGACGGGAGCAAGCAGAACAGACGCTGAAACAGGCAGCTTCAACAGATAGTCTCAGGGTCCTAAATGGTAAGAAGCCAATTTTCGCCTCTGTGTCATTAACTTTCAATTAAAGTGCCAAAAGAAGCTTGCTATATTGAAAATTTATAACGTGATGGGAGGGGAAAAAGAAGAAAATCTCTTTTCTTTCCTTCATTCAAGTGATGCCTCTCTCTTTATTGTTTTGTTACTTTAAATAGTACGTGCAAATAAACTCACTGGAGAGAATGCCCAAACTAGGACAATTTTATATTATTAGCTTGAGAAGTCAATTTTTTTTCTTCTTTTTCTCCCCCCTCCTTTATGCTTGAAAAATCTATTGCTCATTAATCTTCCTAGTCTAACAAAAAATTGTCCTGGCCTCCAGTCATTGTTCAACATTAAAAAAACTGACAAAGGTTGATTGTATTGTAATTCAGCATTGGAGTAACAGGTTGTAAAAAGGGCTATAAGAATCAAATGAAATATGTGTCAGTCTTACCTTTCTACGTTTCTAGACTCTCTGACCCCAGAGATAGAAGCTGACCGCAGCGGGGGCAGAACAGATGCTGAAAGGACAATACAAGGTAGGAATTTGCAAAAGGCTATAAATCTAGATCTTGCTATATGAGTTTTTCCTCAGCTTTAGACTGCTATTCAAGCATGTAGCCTACCATCTGGGCCACATCAAAACAAGTTCAAACAAGGTCAAGTTCATCTTGCTTGTTTATAAGAGAGAATACATTCTGTGCTGATAGATTTTCTTTAAATTAATAGGTCATTTCTGTTTATACAGAGCAATTAAAGAAGAATAATTAATTTGAAGCAATATTGGGTTGAATCTCAGACATGCTGAATGCAGTTTTTGTGAATACGTATAGTTAGGTTTGAGATAACAATGTTTTTAAAGGTATATTTGAAACATTTTGAGCCTTTTAACTATACAAATCACTAAACCTAATGGGTAACATTCAAGGCGTGATGAGAATTTCATAGCTAATATTCAGTGGCAGTTACTGAAAGGTGTGTTTTAATAAGGTACTCTGAGCATTAACGATAAATAAACTGTTTATTCCCTTCTTGGATTTTTCATTTACCATGTCCCATTATTTACATTTTAATAAAACAAATCTGCTGAGTAAATTTATACATGAAATACTAAAGAGAGCCATATTACTTCCCCTGTGAATCTAAATGTGTGTGTGTGTGTATATATATATAGGAAACACCAAGATATTAGTAAAGAGCAAATTTTTAAGATAGTATTTATGTAGTAATATCTTCTCTCGTCAACAGGCTAAATCTACCTATGTGAATACTAACCAGTAAAAATAACATTTGTTTTCACTTGTAAATGAAGGTGCATTTTTTCAAATGCAAGCCCAAACTGATTAGCTCAGTAATCACTCTCAATTGCCTTTATTTTGCATTTTGAAGTCAATCATCTTAACAGTATCATTTGACGACATCTCTGTGTTATTTAATCACTTTTTCTAACTCCTAAAGAGTTGTTACTGGTGTGCCACAAGGAGGCTGTAACAACAGAATAAAAAGTCAACAAGCTTTTAATGTATTGAGCATATAAACAAATACAAAAGAGGCAATAACTTCTTACGAAAGACAAACATACGTATATAAACAAAAAACATTTAGATTTAAAGCAAGTTACGTCTGCAAAGTCAATAACTCAGAAGTTGGAATATGCCAGATTAAACGTTGCCTGGGAAGTGGGTACATGTTTGTTATTCCAGAATCCTGCTTTCCTTCCCGTAAAATGTATGCCTTATTCAAAGCACCATTTGACATATTTTTTTCAATAAGAATCCAATCCTTATGTCATTTTGTTATAATCCAGTCATTTTGTTTGGTACAAAGGAAGACTTCTAATTTCTTGGGAGGCCCATTCTGTTACGCTAGTCACTGCAGTACCTGAGCTCTTTGCTAACATTAATTACTTTATATTCAGAGCACTCCTACGAGGAAGTGAAGTTTGGAGTATTCCCATTTGAAAGCTGGGAAATAGAGTCACAGAAAGATTAACGTGACAAACTGCTTAACCTTCAAGTAGCTAGGACCTATTTTTTGAGGATACTTTACATTTTTGGCAAATTAATTCAGTGTATTTAAAATCGCTGTTCCTGTTGAATTCAATTTTCTTCATAGGCTGAGATACCAGATTGGACATTTATAAAATGAGCAACACATAATTACTGAGTATTTTGGAAGTATGTATTCTACAGGACTTATCCCAAACTACACAGGAACAGCACTTCAGCTTTTTACCCATGATTATCCATTCTTTTCCAGCTGTCCTCTGCCTAATTATGCTAATTTCATATATTTCCATTTCTGCAATAATCATAGAATCATAGATTCATAGAATCATATAATAGTTTGGGTTGGAAGGGACCTTTAAAGGTCATCTAGTCCAACCTCTCCTGTAATGAGCAGGAACATCTTCAACTAGATCAGGTTGCTCAGAGCCCCATCCAACCTGACCTTAGAAGTTTCCAGGGATGGGGCATCTACCACCTCTCTGGGCAACCTGGTCCAGTGTTTCATCATCCTCATTGTCAAAAATTTCCTTATATCCAGTCTAAATCTATCCTCTGTTATTTTAAAACCATTACCCTTTGTCCTATCACAACAGGCCCTACTAAAAAGTTTGTCCCCATCTTTCTTATAAGAAACACCCTCTTTAAGTGTTGAAAGGCTGCAATAAAGTCTCCCCAGAGCCTTCTCTTCTCCAGGCTGAACAACCCCAACTCTCTCAGCCTGTCCTCATAGGAGAGGGGCTGCCGCCCTCTGATCAACTTAGTGCAACTCCTCCGGACTCTCTCCAACAGCTCCATGTCTGTGTTGTACTGGGGCTCCCAGAGCTGGACGCAGTACTCCAGGTGGGGTCTCACAAGAGCAGAATCACCTCCCTTGACCTGCTGGCTACCGTGTTTTTGATGCAGCCAGAGATACAGTTGGCTTTCCGGGCTGTGAGCACACATTGCCAGCTCATGTCCAGCTTGTCATCCACCAGTACCTCCGAGGCCTTCTCCTCAGGGCTGCTCTCAGTCCCTTCATCCCCCAGCTTGTATTGATACTGGGAGTTGCCCTGACCCAGGTGCAGGACCCTGCTTTTGGCCTTGTTGAACCTCATGAGGTTCACATGGGCCCACTTCTCAAGCTTGTCCAGGTCCCTCTGGATGGCATCCCATCCCTTAGGTGTGTCAACTGCACCACTCAGCTTGGTGTCATCCGCAAGGTCTTATCAAGGTCTAAATCAAGGTCTTACAAGCAACATTGTCGGTAACGATGACCTTTCCTCGATTCATCTGTCCAAGGTGGTGCAAGGAAAAAAACCACCAACCCACATTGGTTTTTTTTGATAATCACAGATGATTATCTAATTAAAAACTGGTCCATAATATATTCTAATCATGATATTGGATCACATTGCAAAGGCAACCTTAATTCTGACATTTCCTGTCTCTACTTTGCAGTCTTAACACATAATTTTAATAGTTGTTATTTTAAGGACAAGGAAGAAAGAAGCAAGAAATAGAGTTGTAATTTCCTATAGTTTAATACATTCAGCTTAATCATCATACAAAAGTTCAGAACTTTTAGATCTACCACAACAGGTAACTGTACAACACAAATGTACAGTTTGACTATAGGCGGTTATTGTCATTGTGGATCAGGTATTATAGCCTGAGAGGTTTCAGAAATAGTTCAAGAAATGCTTAATAACAGGCAACTAATGCTAAGTGCCAGCTCTTTGTGTTCACTTCCAATTTTGGAAGGAGGATTCCCTTTCACCATAAACTCCCTTTTCTCTGTGTCCCCCCTAGCACGTATCCCTGTTACTCCTGCATCTCCGTGTCGCAGTTCCTCCTAGTTTCTTCCTCCTCACTCCAATTCCAGCTTTTGTCAGCTGCTAATCTCCCTCTTTCCTTGCTGTACATTACATTGTGTTTCTTTTTCCCAACTTCACATTCTTCCAACCTTCTGTCCTGAACTCAGTTTCATGCCACCCTGATGATTTCTTTAATTACAAGCTCTTTCTCTTCTCAGTGACCCCCAACCCCCTGTATCTGTCTGACCCTTCCTGTTGCCTCCTCCTCCTGTCCAGCCATTTGGAGAGTCCATGCTGCACTGACATTCCTCGTTACCAGCCTTTCCTGTTTGGCACCACATCTCTGTCTGTAATTCTCTGCTTCCCCTCACCGCCCCATCAAACTTACGTTCCCTGCTGCTTTCAGTACACATTCTGTTTCTTATTCTGCATCTGCCTGGATATCGGGGAGAGAAGCACTGAGAGGAAAGCATAGACAATTTCTCTATTCTTATCTCAATATTTAGCACAGCAGTTGTTTGCAGAAATGAGGAGAGAGAGTTGCAGGAAAAGAACTGCTTCATTCCTGCAGCACCGGAATAAAGCATGCTCAGTACAGATGGGCTCCTTGGAGAATTTAGCTGCAAAACTCTACAAAACCTTTCCAGTGGGTGAAACTGGGATTTTTCCAACACTTTTTTGAATTTTCATTGGGCAACAAGGACCATGTCTTTCCAATTTTTCAAAATTTCAATTCTGTCCTTACATTTTATCTGTAAATGATATGTGGTATACTCTAGTATGCAATATGTAAGTATCACTATATAAAATATACAATATATTCCATAATAAAGAATATAATACTGTCTCTTTCATGTTTCAGGTTCTGGGAAAAAAATACTTACTAGGGAAATACTTATGCCTTTCTTATTCCTCTCAAAAATATATCTGTATCTGGGTATCAAAGCATGTCTGGGGTAATAGTCTCTTTATCCACAATCATTTTTTTTTTTTTCAACTTACTGTATTAAGCATGCTATGCAGTTCTGTAACTAATCAAACAGAAGTAGGAAAGCTGCGGCATTCTGTGAGGAAGTGAAATAATTGAAATACCAAGTGTAATTTCAGCATTTAAGAAAATATTAAGTGAGCAAATAATAAATATCTACTATTTATTATAAATAAAAGTTGTATTTAATGTTGATATTGTTAACAATCACTTTTGTGAGTAAAGAATAGGGCTAATTTAAACATAAAAGATAATTGCATTTGTCAGTAAGAGGGGTATGTTCTGTTCTATTTTTCATCATGTAGCTCTTACTCAGATTCACTTTTAGTTCATGTGAAGTCTTTTGTAATAAAAAGATAATAAAAAGAAATTTGAATATGAGACTATAAAAAAGAAGCAATGCAGGATATTTTAGGGTTGGGTTTGGGTTTTTTTAAAATACTGGGTAGATAACAATTTGCTGGAATATCCATAAAATGCTAACAAATTATCATAATAAATAACCCAATTATGAGTTTCCATATTTTTTAACAAACAGATACTTAGTTATTAGGAGCTGGTGTAGACACTGGTTTTAAATGTTTTCTTTCTTGCTTCTGTTTAAAATAATAATAAAGCAGATTATCCTCTTCTCCATACATATTGTAGGTTCACTAGATGCCTATGCCTAGCTCCCAATCCGGTTTCCCAAGACCCCCTCATCCCACACAAAAAGGTACCATACAAGATAATGTTTGACTTTTATATACTGTTTTGTTACCAGACCTCTTACTAAGCACTAGAACAATGACATTTACTACCGTTCTTACTTTCTTATTTCCATTGACTTTTTCTTCCTCATCTGGTCACTTACCATGTATTTGTCTGCCTACGTTATTAATTTTTCTTTTCCTCTATAAGTACCACATTCCCAATTTTCTGTCTCCCAGTAGTTTCCCTCTCAAGTCCTGTACATTCATCTTCATTCCATTTAAACACCACTCCGTGTATGCATTATTTAAACTCCTCTAAAAATGTTTTTGTTCTGCACTGTCTTCCCCATTGACCATTCTGCTCCTATGATATCCCTGTCATATCTTTTCCCAAATCACTCCCAAATTGTTTTATGCTTTTTTCCCAAAGCTATCCTTATAAGAACAGGAAGCTTAACCAAATTTTCTCGCTGACAGGCTGCTATTTTTTTTTGGTCTTCTTTTATTCTTTCCTATTTTCTAGAAACTGCCTGAGCCTGTACCTTTTCTACTTTCTTCCAATTAATTCCCAACTTCTCCATGCCATCATTCCAGCTGCTTCTGAAATCAGCTCCATCATTTTCTCCTAACAGTCTTCTCACCCTGTACAGTTCCCATGAACTCTCAAGCTTATAATTTTTTTCCCCAAATGTCTGTTTGCATTCCAAGAGACCCTTTGCACTTTACCCGTCTTCAAAGTTTTCCTGTCCTACTGCACTCTTTCAGTCAGTTTTTCCTTAACTACGCATACTGCTCTAGCGGAAATTTTGTTCCTTTTGTCTGTCAATCAAAATTTCATACCTCAATTCCTTATTCTGCTGCAAATATTTTTTTATTTCCTTCTAGCACATTATCAGCCTTTCTCCAAATGAGCCTGTTATCTTACTCTCCCTGTCCCTTAGCAAAATGAACTTATGCTTTCTAAGCCCTTTCCCACCCACTGTTTCTTCTTGCCTTTTTCTAGTTCTCCATCTCTTCTGTAGGCTCATATTAATAGTGCAGTTAAGTGTAATGCTAAGTGGCTTCAGACTGTGCTTTCCTGATGTAAGAAGAAGAGCCACTCGGCTACCATGCACATAAAAGCTTCCAGAGCCATCTGTCTTTTTCCCTCCCAGAAAGGACAAGGCAGGAAATGGAGATGTTGAGCAGATCCAGGAATAGTAAAAGAAAGCAACTGCAACTCAGCACACTGACTGCCTGGTCCTGTATGAAGTTACTTGTAAGGCCTTTGACGGCTACTAGGGAAGAGGGAGAAAGAAATTATGATTTAACTTTGCCCATAGCAAGAACCTAGTGTGTGCATTTTGCTGCCTAAGTACTAGGGGAAAGCAGCCCTGCAGCTGCCCTCCACATTAATAAAAATTGCTTAGAGACAGCTTCAGTCATTTGCCTCAAAACCTAACCTAAATGGTTTTCTGTGTTGGTTTGAAACTTGTTTAATCTGTTTTTCAACAAGCAAAATCAGTGTAATAAACTCAGCAAACGATAGTCCTTGATTCTTTCTGGCTCTATTTGTGTGTGAAAGATAGCTATCTGAAGGACTTCCACAATGAAAAGGAACTTTTGGTCGTTCTGTGAATCTTGTGCCCACCATTCCCTTTCTGATGTATAAATCTTGGACAAAAGCATGTGGAAATGTGTGATGATATTTCTTATATGAGATCAAAAACTTTATTGGAAAAGGCCATTATCAAGGCTGTAGAGTCAAGCATTCCAAAATTAGGAAATGGTAGAATTAAGGTTGTCTTCCGCACCTTTGTTCAACTGCCTTTTGTATGCATCATGATATAATCTTTAATTATATGATTAGATACTGTATTTTTCACTGTACCCTGTCTCATTCAGTGCAGGGGACAAGGATGTAGTTGAATAAATGGATATCTATCCAATATTTTCTTTATCTTCAGTGCTCAATGTGTGTTCTCATGCTTTATATAATACCTGGTTTATACATAATACTTTCATCATTAGACATCATGCTTTACAGAAGAGGTATGAATGATTATCTCAATTTCTTTCATATGTTAAATCTTAATTTTGGCATTTCCTAACAGTTGAGTGTTTTGCTTCACCGTTTGAATAATGTCCTAGGTAGCCATTTCCTAGGGTTTTCTTTTTAACATGTAAACTACAAAGCCAGAAGTTTCACTGTGAGATGACATCTGACAGCCTTATGGACTTGAATCTGTAGATTCACAGTGATAAAGCTAACAAAGTAACTGATAAACTGTAATACCTTATGAGCACTGTGGTCTAAGGAATGACCATTTTGCCGTGGGGGTTTTACAGATACTTGTTGAGATGGATATAATCTTGGGATACATTTCACACTCTTGGGCACAGAATCTTGTTTTCATTTTTCTTGCAACCTGTATCACTTTTAACAGTGTCTCCATTAAGCTTTCTTATTCTTGTTTCTTCCTCATCTCTGGCTTTTGTATCAGTCCTAATATCCATTTCCAAATTTTATAATCTCTTTCTTGCCTCTTTTTTTGTCTCACCTTTCAATACAAGTTTCTATTTATATCCAGTCATAATTCGAGCCTCTAATTTTAACTTCTTACACCTAATATCCTTGTTAATCAAGATCCAGACATGTCCAGATCTTGGCTCATAATACTCTATCTATATGCCGCATACCCAGTTACTTGTCAAGGTTTCTCCCTCTAAGAGACTTCAGATTACTTTACCTGACTTTCTTGCCCTGTCTGTGTTTTGTCCCCCATCTTTCCTTCTATTCTCAACCACTGAGTCCTGTTCTTCTCTAATCCCTTGGTTCCCCAACCTCAGTTTCAGTTACTGTCGGCCAACCATCTCTTATTACTAGCTCCCTTTCAGTGTCTTCCAGTGCGCTGGTTTCTGTGTTTCTATCTATGTGTTTTAACCAGTCTCAGCCCCGCCCCCCAGTCACATTTTCTGTCTTTGTTTCCAATTCCAGCTGTATTAGACTTCTTGTCTTAATTTCTCTAAATCTTAGGTTTTGTATGAGTTTATATTTGTAGACTTACTTAGAGAAGATTACTGTTGGCTGCTAATCAGAGATAGCACATTTTCCATTGCAAGACTACTCTCAAATTAACTAATGACTTTTTTAAAAATAGTTTTTAATATCCTCAAATGACAGGACATCTATTTCTTTTCTGGGTACATCAGTTCTCTCTGCAGCACATTTAACTAAAATGTCTTTTTTTTTTTTTAGTCTTTCCTTCATTTATTTTGCCCATGATATCAACTATGATGACCAGCATCAAGTCCATTTCTTTTATCCATTATCCTTCTGTAGAGCTCCTTCAATAATTGCATCTTTCTCTCAGGGCTTCTATCTCCTATCTTTGCATTTCTGTCTGTTCCTCTCTGTGTCCCCCTTCCTCTTAATCAAAAGCAATTCCATTTGCTCCCATAGCTCCTCAAAGACGAGGTCATCCATCTGTATAATGCCATGTAAACCAATGGTCATATATTCTCTACAGTATTAATTGATTAAAGCCCAGAAAAGAAAAGCACCTGATTCTTTATACCTTTTACCAAGTTTTTTCTTGCCTTTTTTTCTCATTAAAACATCTTAGAAACGTTAAATATATATATATCAACTTGTAAATTCTGCATTTTTATTCAACTGACACTTGCTCATCAGTTATTCCATTTTTATTGCTGCTTAGTAAGTACTATGGATTTGTTGTTACTCATTTATTATTGCGTGTGACTTCTAGCAGAAGGGTACTTGGGGTTTAGTACAGAGCCAGGATTCTCAAATGGATTTATCAGGTCATTTTCAGAATGAAAATACATTTTCACTTTCCCATGTGACATTCCTTGTTCTCTGCCGACCCATTTCAATGCCGTTTCAGCTTCCCTTGTATTGTTGCTTTCCCACTTTCCTTCCACCTCTGTTTCCACCTCCCCCCCTGCCAAATATTATTTCGGAATATCCCAAATCTTTCTTATTATGCCACTTCTTTGACCTGGGAGGGAATGTGCGAGTGTGATCTGGCGCTACGTGTCTGCTGGTTGACCAGGTGGCTGACTAGGAGATACACGCATTCTGAGGGATCAGTGACAAGCTAGGAGATATGCATTTTCTGCTGGACATCTTGTTGCTGCCTCTTGGCAGCTGGGCAAATCAAACAGTACATGATGCTTCTCAGCAGCTGATGGGCCAAACAAATGGTTTTTCAAGCTGCAAGAGACCCACGGCCCACCTGTTGTGCAGGCCTGCTATAAAGGTTGAACATTTCAGCAGGGAAAAGAAGTCAGGAGCTGGAAACAAAGCTGTCAGAAGCCTGGAAGGCAAAGGGATTTTTTTTTCTAGATATATTGAATAACTGCCCAAGGAAACATCTGCTACTTAGCTAGGCTGTTTATGGAAACAAACAGCTGACTATTCTAGACCCACAGAAATATGAAAAGGTTCTGTGAAGCAGCAATGACAAAACAGTGGATGGCCTTGTTTATGGAGATGAACTTTTCTGTGATTTTTAGGCCACTTAGCAAGTTATTCCATTAGGCCAGATTTAAAAAAAAAAAAAAAAAAAAAAA